CGATTTGGCATTTTATACGATTGAATAGTTTTCGATAAGAAAAACCTTTTTAAAATACAAATTAATTATATCGGAATGATTAAGTTATTTTTCTCATAATTATTTGTGATATCAGATGGTGACGCATTCAAAAACAAGAGTATCTCCTCCAAACAGCCATCATTGATCCAAAAACAATGTAATAGATATAGCACAGATGTAGCTTTAAAATTATAAAATTTTCATTTCAACAATGAACCTACCAAAACCGAAAACTTCAGCGAAACAACATTTCAGCATGCTGCATTTAAATCTATTTTGGTATATTTAAAGGTAAATTATGGTACAAACGAAAAATGTCATACGGCAACCATAGTCAGCACACACTAAAGTAAACAAACTGGAGATTAATAGCAAATTAGCGAAAAATAAACACAACAAACTTTGTGCATATTAAATTTACTCACTTTTTCGTTGTATACTTACTAGCATTAATAATGAAATTTGCAATAAATAACTCAAAAAGGCCATATTTTCTTTTGTTTATTTACAAACATGTGTTTGTGATCAGCTGATTTTCTTACTTGCAAGTTTTAGCTGGGAAAAATTTTTCCAGCAGAAATTTGCAGCTCTCTTTCACATTTTGCTCTCTCAATTTCTCCTACTTTGCAAGTTTTTTAGGTACGAGAACGCAAAACCAGTAAAAGTTTTCTAAAACTTTAGATAGTTGGGCGCACGAGTACTCTCCTACTGATAAACATACGTATGTGTAGAAAACATTAAATCGTTTTTTATAAGTGGGGATGTTTTTTAGAAGTAAATATTTAACTAAACACGCAAAAATATTGGGCGAATAGAAACAAAAAAATGTTTAAAACAGTTTCATAAAACATTTATTTCATTTAACGACGTGGTTTCCTTTATGAGGTATTCTTTTCTGTCCATATATATACTATGTGCATATAAAATGCGAATGCAGCTAAAATTCTTTGAAGGTAATATTGGAGTAATTCTTAAAATTAGTATACGTACATACATATGTATGTATTTATGCTGATGCATTTCAATGGTGAAATTATAAGCAGGTGAAGTAATAAAATAGCTTTCTCGCTTTTAGTTTGTTCCAGTACTCTTCGGACTAAAACCTGTGGAAATGTCAAACTACGACTTTACTCTCTCAAGTGAGAGTAACAGGAGAACAGATGCAGAAGTGTACGGGAACGCAAAAAGCACCTTTTCCAGCAAAAACGTCATTTGGTTTGTTTACTTGTCATTAGTACAAGACTGATTTGGCTGAAAGGTCACTAAATAACTATTAAAATCTATACAATTAATAATAATTGCATATATATTCGAATATTTCATTGTTTACTTCCATTTTTTAAGAAATGTAAGTTTATTTGCTTTCACCGCGTTCTGTTTTTGTACACAAATGCAACTCTACCTATCAGTGGCGTAGCCACTTCACAAAAAAAATGTATATAACAAAAATGGTTATACTGGTCGATATTTTTACGAAAGTGCAGAATTTAACCCGTTAATGCAGAGTCTGTCATATATGAAACGCTTTTTAACCCTCTCAAGGTAGAAGCAAAATAGTTCTCAATATGTTTTCAACGCACTTTTTATTTATTTTTATTTTTTATTTATTTTTATTTATATTTAAAAAATTTTTTTTTTTATTTTATTTTATTTTTTTTTTATTATTTTACTANAGATAATGGAATGCAGCATTTAACCCGTTAATGCAGAGTCTGTCATATATGAAACGCTTTTTAACCCTCTCAAGGTAGAAGCAAAATAGTTCTCAATATGTTTTCAACGCACTTTTTATTTATTTTTATTTTTTATTTATTTTTATTTATATTTAAAAAATTTTTTTTTTTATTTTATTTTATTTTTTTTTTATTATTTTACTATGGAAAAATTTTCTACGATTAATATCTACGTCAACATGAGAAAAAGCACGTTCAAAAGCATATTGAGAACCTTTTTCCTCTGCCTTGAAAGGGTTAAAAAGCGTTTCATATATGACAGAGTCTGCATTAAAGGGTTAAATGCTGCATTCCATTATCTCTTTTCTAAGCGAAGATCTACGATTTTGAAAAAAAACTCGTGTTTTGCCTATAGTGCGTCGCCTGTGGGCATTCTTTCATATATGTATGTATGTGCCATTTCTACCGTTATACATGTTTTGTCTACTCGGTTATTCCCTGGGGAATTCATGCTTAAAAAATGAAATTACTACACCATTTTAATTAATTAGTTTGTAGTCCAGTTTTGTTTTGTAGAAGTTTCGTTAGTATACACTTCAGTTTTTACACATNTCGTTAGTATACACTTCAGTTTTTACACATTGAATATATCTGCATATTTATATATTTACGCGTATCTATTTACATTTATTTATGTACAAGTCTACAAAATCTTATTACTTATAAAGCGATTTTTAATATTCGTTGCTTAACACACATTTTTTCAATTACTTCTTGTGTTGTAACCGGCACAACATTATGTATCGCTAACATCGTTAAACCATTCAGCCGCTCCTTAATTGTATAAAAAGA